AATCTTTAAAGAAAGAGATTGAGGAAGACATCAGAAGATGGAAGGACCTCCCATGCTCATGGATTGGAAGAATTAATATTGTGAAAATTACCATCCTCCCAAAAGCAATATATAGATTCAATGCAATCCCAACAAAAATCCCTATGACATATAAAAAAAAAAAAAAAAAAAAAAAACTTCTTTAATGAAATGTGAGATCTACATTTACCTGTGGGTATAAGTATTTAGAATATAGTTAGAAATCATATTGGTTTAGGAAAATGGCTGCAGTAGGTCCTCCTCTAAGGTCTATGACCTCTCCAGCCATGGGTAATTGTCGAGGTTTATAGTACCAGGCATGAATTCCCTTCCAGTGAGCTGGTCTTAAGCCCAATTAGGCAGCTGTTGGTTACCCCCAAGATATAAGCACCACTACTGAACCACTGGTGATATATTACCAGGCTGGTCATTTTTGTGATTTGTAAGCTGTGGGTAGGTAGTCTCAAGGTTTTAATAAACACTTGATAGTGTCATACATCTTAGTTTCTCCCAAATTATCTAGAATGAAAAAAAAAAAACCAAATACTTTAAAGTATTTAATCCAAGAACAGTGAGTCTAAGGAACTCTTCCTAGAACATTGCCTACTTTCTGCAAATCATTGTTGCATTTTACATCCTATATGTCTTGTGCAGTGGGGAATTTGCACATATAGGTAAAGTCATGAGTTGAGAAAACAAACGGGATTTTAGAAACGCTCATGACTAGTTAGCAAAGACTGATGCTGTCAAAGAGCCATCTGGGAAGCATGCTAATCTCCCTTATGATAACAAACCATATGACAATGTTTACATGCTTCATTTTTGGCATGCTTTGATAATTTATTTGTAATATTAAATTAAAGCCAGATGCCATTGAATTAGAGTCATTTAAAGCATGCTATAATTCTCTCCATCCATTTTAGGAGGTTTGGTATGGTTTTGAGGGCAAAAGATAGGAAAGTTAAAGGGCTCCTAGCAGATCCTCAAGAGAGAGCTAAAGGTAGGAATTTGTTAATGTCCAAGTCTTCACTAGATTCAGAAATAAATTCATTCATTGTTCAGGAACGCTGTAATCAAAACTTGCCATTGTCTTCTTGACTCTGAAGGTGGCAGCTGGTCAGATCAACTCAAGCCAGGTGGCATGGAGAGGCCTGCTTACCGGGATGCCCTGCAATTTAGTGTCATGGTACAGAGGTTTGATAATTGGGATTGGACATACTAGGGCTTCTCCAGTTTTGGAGAGAGTGCTCATTAATTGAAACCCTACTATGTATTAGGGACCTTCCCACACACACATGCTGTCAACTTTCAGGCAATAGTATCCCTTTTACAGATGGTGAAAATGAAGTTTGGGAGGTCCTGTCTCTTGGCCACAGTCCCACCTGTAAACAACAAAGCAAAGATGTGAGCCTTGGTCTACAGAGTCAGGGCTTGCCATCTGATCTGACCACATGCAAACAAAAGGTTGCCTTAACAAGAAAGCACTAGAGAACTCTAGAAGACTTAGTAGATGTAGTTTTCTCATAGCAAGATTAAGAGGAATCATTATGGTTAGTGCTCTGGATTTGTGCCAAAGACCATGTTTGACTAAGCTCTTTTTTCGTTCTGCTTAGTTAAAAAATTATTTTAAAATAATTAGTTAAAATATATTTTAAAAGCAAATACAAAGTGACTGTCTTAACCTTGGACTAGACTACGCAGTATTACTGAGGTTATGATCTCAAGCTTAGGTGGAATTTTAAAATGTGTGCATGGGTGTACATCAGTGTAGTAGTATGTGCTCTATAAAGAGATATTATGCAGTCACGCCTTTCCTTTTTTAAACTGCTGTTGGACTCTTGGGCTGTGGCCTCTTTGTCAATGAACCTACTTCTGGTTTTGCTTTTTTCCCATGAAATGGTTCTCTTTTTCTCTTGGCAAACATCAGCCATAAAACACATTTTATTGCTTTCTTTTTTCAATTTATTGTTTTCTAAATATAACCTTCCAGAAATACCTCACAAATTACTCCTCCCTCTTGTCAAACACAGGGAACATAATAAATAAAGCTTCATGACATACGAACTTAGCATATACAGTACTGGGTCATACATTAAAGGATACCTTGTGTTCCTTTATTGTTAATAATTCAGAGCTCATATTTTAATTTTAAAACTTTTTAATTGACAAACAGTTATTATATCATGTGACAGTTTAATACATGCACACAATGTTTGGTGATCAGATCAAAGTAACTGGTGCATCCATCACATCAAATTCATCATTTTTTTTGTTGGAAACATTTGAAATCCTCTGTACTAGCTATTTTGAAATATACAAGTAATTGTTGTCTGCCATAGTTATCCTACTATGCTATAACACATGAATTACCACTGCTACCCATCTGCTAGCCCTCCTCCCTCTATCCCCCAACACCTTTCTCAGGCACAGCCTATACTTCTAGATTAGAAGATGAACATAACTAAGTCTTTTCATCTGTATAAATGGCTTTCTGTATAAATGGTTTATATGATCCGTCAGTTCCATTCATCTTTACTTTTCTTTTTTGTTGTTGTTCTATTATCAATTCCTATTTTAAGTCATATTCCTGTAAGGAAAAGTTTTAGCTATTAAACTCCCTTTTCTAGGGCCTTGCACTGGACACTGGGTGATAATACTTGAAATGCCTTTCTTTACTCCTTCAAAGCAGTAGCTTAAGCAACCTTTAAAAACAGAAATACATAGAGGTTGAAAATCATGGCTAGAATTCAAATATGACAACCCTAATTTAATCTACTGTACTGTTCTTTATTCCATTCTATAAATGGATAAGAAATCTCAAATACTAAGAATAAATGCTCAGCGTGTTCATCTCTAGCTCCCTACTGGAATGTATTGATGCTTTTGGTTCTTGTGCTCCACATGCAGTATCTGGAATCTCAAGAAGGCTAAAGCACATCAAGAGAGGAACTAGCAGTTAATCAGTGACCAGAGTTGCCTGCTTATGGCTATGGGCACAGCAGCTTACGCACGTTGTCATTTCTCTCAAACCTACAATGTGCTAGCCTAATATTCATTTCACAAACGACAAAGCTGAGGTGCAGAGAGGTTGCCCTGGGCAGGTCACACAGGAAGTAGTAATTCAGCTTTCAAGCCATAGGCCACCGTGCCATGCTAGCTCATCCTTCAATTCTGGGTGTGTCTCCTGTACCAAGAATTCATTAATGTCTTCCGTGTGCTCCCAGCACCAAA